AAACTCCTTCGTCTCTGTTTTCTGCCTCAGTTTTTCATTTTTCTTAGGTAAACTCTAATAAAAACAATCCTCTTTTACATCCCTTCTTTGTTTTGTCACTATATTGGTCTTTTGGAACTTTCTTTTTTAACTTTTGTTGAAGGATGTAATTGACTTCATATTTATGCATTTCATTGTATTTAGCATTTTTTGTATTAAATTTACATATATCCTAAAAAATATTAAAAAAATAAACGTATCCCCAACGTGTCCGTGTCCTAATTTTTTAGGAATTGACGTATCGCCGTGTCCTATCGTGTCCGTGTCCGTGTCCCGTATCCGTGTCCGTGCTTCTTAGCAAGAAGCTATGGTAGATGAAGAGTCTCATTTTTTGCAAAGAGGCCTCTTTCAAAGACAATTTGGTCAGGAGACAAAGTTCAGTTAAATCATTGGAAGAAGCTCGAAGTTTGGTTGAGTGTTCGGATAGTCAGACAAATCAGCTTGCAGATGGCCCCTCGATTATTCAAAATGCCCCAGTTGATTTTATTATTGAAAAAGATCTGAAAGATCAGTTTAATACTCTAGTTGGCTGGAAAGTAGTGGACAAGGGTGGGGTGTTGACAATCCAATCTTTCCACAAGGTATGAAGAATACTAAAAGACTCATTCAGCCTCTTCCGCTTTTCTTTTCTCAAAGGAAGTCCAACTCTCTTTCTGAAAAGGGGTTTGCAAAGTCTCTAGAAGTTAAAGAGGTGCAAGTAAATTTGAATGAGACTTTTAATATGAAAAGTGAAAGAGTTAGTAAAAGTAGATCACTCAAAATTAATTCTCTTTCTTATGGTCGAATTCCTAATGAAGATTTAGCTCATAGGTTTTCTACCCTTGAGCTCCGAATAATGATCTTGGGAGAAGAGGATTGAGCAATTAGTATTATTAGTTTGAATTCTTCATCAAAGTCAGATCTTCCTCTTGAGGTATCTCAGAGCAATCTTTTGAGGAAGATTTCAAGATTCTTTTTTATGAGCAAAAAGAAGCCGAGAAGTCAGAATTTTCGAAGCAACCTTATATTCCTCCATATTTTGAAGAAATGGGGATTACACTGGTCCCGATTGATATTAACCTCTGATTTTTAAGTTGTATTGAGTGTTGGATTTGTGCTTTGCAGTTTAGGGGTTTTTAAGGTGAAGAGTTGGGGCATTTTTAGGGTTTGGAAGGTGAAGAATCAGGGTTTTTTAGGCGGTTTTCTGATTTCTTTCAGTTGAGAGATATGAAAAGTCTTTTCTGCAGCAACCACATTAATGTTGGTTGGAGAAGGGGGCTGATTGTCCTTTATCTCGTTGATTGGTTGATTTACTTGGGTTGAGATTTTTCTTTAAGCACATTTCTTATCTTAATATGCTTGGCTAGCAACAGTTAGAAAAACTTTGAACAGAAAAAACCTTTGAACAGACTACAGAGTATGATGATAGATGAGTTTTTTAGAAGATGATTGGAGTTACAAGCTTATCATGTTTGAGGATCAACTTAAATTCGTGCCAAATTTTCGCATGATCTCAAAGATCTATATCCAGAAGTTAAAGTAGGCGAGCCTGAAGTTAAAAACTCTTGATCCTATTGTTGGCTTTTATTATTTTCTTATTTTGATTGTAATGCTCATTGTTGAGCCTCTTTCTTGCTTTGGTCTGTCTTCTTTTTCTCTCATTCCTTTGGGAGTTTGCATCCTTGAACTTTTTTCTACTTTTCATATGTCGATGAAAAGTTGTTTCTTGTCTTTTTTGGAAAAAAAAATGAATGAGAGAATAAGAACTAAAAAAAATTACAAATTACAAATTCAAATTTAAAATTCAAAATTTTTAAAAAATGCATGTTAGAACTGGATCGTGGGCTATGGAGATGGAGCTTTGTTGTCGCAATGGGCGCCTTCTGAAAATTGAAAAAGTAGCCTTTTTATCCATATCCCTTCACAAATACCGTGGGTGAGGCCTTAAATTTTGCTTCTAGCCACTACATTTGAAGCTGTGTACATGAGAAAGATTTTTCCTTATTTCTTAAGTAGCGAGTAACACTCATATTTATACAAGAAGTTCTAACCATATGAACTAAAAAGAAGTAATTTAGTTTACAAAAATCTTAGCTAACTTCCTAATTTCCAACTGAATTGATTAAGCTTTAGCTTGATTTTCTACACTCCCCCTCAAGCTGGACGGTATATGCTAGTCATTAAAAGCTCGAAAATAAGCCCCCCAAGTCTAGTTCGGTGTAAGGTCATAGTTAATATGATAGTTGTGGCCTTTGAGTTTGTGACATGTTACCTGAGTATGGTTGTTCTCAGTGAAGGGCGAAACAGGAATTTGTGATTCTGATCCTGACATTGTATGATAAATAAGAGGAAACAAATAGAATAATTAGGTTACTCTCTTGAGGGAAAAAAAACTATGGCGGTGGTGGCATAGTCTGAGGGCGGCAACGACGGCGTCTAAGGGTAGCGATGGTGGCAGCGGCAGCTTCGTCTAAGGAAGAAAGGTAGGGTTCCGACAACGGCGGCTAGGGTTCCAACGACAAAGCTAAGGTTTGAGGGGAAAAAAAATCAAAGCTCTGATACCATGAAACTTTGTATATGAGAAAGATTTTTCCTTATCTCTTAAGTGATGAGTAACACCCATATTTACAAGAACCATATGAACTAAAAAGAAATAATTTAGTTTACAAAAATCTTAGCTAACTTCCTAATTTCTAGCTGAATTGGTTAAGCTTCAGCTTGATTTTCTACACTCCCCCTCAAGCTGGATGGTATATGCTAGTCATTCCAAGCTCGAAAATAAGCCCCCCAAGTCTAGTTCGGTGTAAGGCCATAGTTAATATGATAGTTTTGGCCTTTGAGTTTGTGACATGTTACCTAAGCATGGTTGTTCTCGGTGAAGGGCGAAACAAGAATTTGTGATTCTGATCCTAACATTGTATGATAAATAAGAGGAAACAAAGAGAATATTAGGTTACTCTCTTGAGGAAAAAAAACTATCGCGGCGGCAGAAGCAGCGGTGGCAACAACGACGGCCAACAGTGATGGAGGATCCTATCATCTTGAATGGCTTCTTTCATCCCAGATCTACAATCATCTGAAATCCTAACTGTGAAGGATCCAAGTTGTGGATCGTTAATCTCAATTGAAGCTCATTAGTTTCCTTGTTTTTTTTATTTTTGTCTATCTTCACTCTTTCGGGAGCTTGTATCATTGAACACTTTTGCTTCTTTTCATTCGTATCTTGTTCAAAAAAAAAAATTTAAAAAAAAATAATTTGGATTCTTCCTGGCTGCAAAATTAAATCTAGTGTCGAAATTATTATTCTTAAGCAAAACAAATGGAACAAGGCTGTCGCAAAATAAGAAAAAAAATATTTCAGCAATCCGAAATTAGATGGTATTAAAATTAAAGTCAAACTACTAAGTTACTAACCTTCCGCTTAAGAATCTGAGCAGCAAAGAACTCGACTTCCAACTCAGGGACAAAGGAGGACAGCGGATGTTGAATTCGATCGGAGGTAAGGATAGCAGTGGCAACTTCCCAAGCAGCACCAGTCTGTTGAAACTGAACTAACCACTGATTTGCTGCCACGCGGTTGCAAGATTGGGTATCATGATTTAGGACATGAACCGCTTGAGTGACTTTCATTCGTAATTCCATCTCTTTAACACCTATGTAGTTTATCTTTGTTTTTCAGTATTCCAAGAAGAAACTAGCTATTGACTCGGACAAAGCATAACAATGGCCCAAGTATGCTGACTGCAACTACAGAAACACTTTCAAGAAATTCCATTCCGAACGCGACGCCATCTACAGCATATTTGCTTACTCTGAAGCTGTGTCCATGGCTGCATTATAAACTCCAGCAGATTAACCCCAAGCGACTGGCCCAGTCCACAGAGGCTTACAACTTTTACAACCCTGAAAATAAATAAACGAACAAATCAATAAACCAAGCTCACGTAATCATGCTACCATTTCCGAGAAGCGCAAGCTAATTTACCCAGATCATCACAAATAAAACCCATCAATAAAATCATTATATTGCAATCCTATCATCTCCTGTTGCCTATTGAGGGTTCGATCTCACAGACGCATACTATCATGCCAGTTTGGTTCGTATAAAGCAACTAAATCTGGGAATTGTATTCAGACAGAAGTAAACAAAATGGGACATACATATAACTTCATCGGTGCAAAACTTTGTTCAAATTTTCCATTACATGTATGCACTTAGTTCAATGTGCACAATTGTATATCAAAAATGTAAGCAGCATGAAATTGACAATCATTAGATAAGATTCAGGAACATGTAGTCTGATTTTATCTCACTTTGTAGAGTTGAACCAATGCTGGGCCACGATTGGATGATGGGTTATTTTGTATTTTTGACCTGCTTCGGTTCTCCTCGAGTCGCGCTATTAACCCGTTGTTCAGGTGTGAGGCAACTGGGTTGGAGCTATGGCGGGCGGACAGAGGTAGGGAACCTCCAATGGCGGACTGGAACGGTGGCGTCGACCGGCCTGTGTACGACACGAGGAACATGGGAGAGGTGGTCGATCTAATTTTGGGGTAGCAGTACAATTCTAAAAGGTAATTTCGGGTTCCTACAGAAGTTTTTAAGAGAATACCCTATTACATTAAAAATGATGATGATGATAATAGTAAAAATAAATAAATTAATACCTTCTTGCATTGGAAAAAATCTAAAAAGATGCGTGACACATTTTTTAAATTTTTATACAACAAATGTGCGGATAGTTAGAGGATTCAACTTTTAATTTTTTAAGAAGAAATAAGATGTTTTGTGAGACTTTGATCGCCTCATTCTCTTATTTTAGTTTATGATTATAAATATGATTGTAGAATATAAGATAATATACGTTATTTCACATAAATTAATTTTAAGGTTAAAATATTATTTTGGTCTTGGTACTTTTAGTCTCTATTTATTTTAGTTCCTATACTTTAAAAATGTTCATTTTTGTTCCTATATTTTTAACTTTGGTTCATTTTAATTCATGTATTTTGAAAATATTCATTTTAGTCGTACTTTTAAAAAGTGATCATTTTAGTCCGTATTAGTAAGATTTTAACACAAATTTTACACATAACGGAAACTATTTAGTATATAGTAATTTTTACATTATAAGAAATATATCGATGATAATATGGTGTTGAAATTGTGATAGAAAAAATGAGATTTAAAATAAAATGAAATGACCAAAAATGGTCACTGCTATTATTTTAAAATAAAGTAGAAACTACAATAACCAAAACAAACATTTTAAAATTATAAAGACTAAGTTGTGTTAGATTGCCTAGAAGCTACGAGCTTTTGTTGGGACCTATAATGGATATTATTGGGGAAAGTTATTGCAATTCAATATTTAACATTATTATTGAATTACCATCTGAGTGGAAGATCGGACGTAACTCTTAGTGATGAACCAGTATAATTTCGCTGTGTCGGTTTATTGTTCTTTACGGTTTTTTTCCTTATTTGCAGATTGTGGTTGTGTGGATATTTTATATAGAAGGGAAAATTATACAAGATTGGTAATTTCCCAACCGTATCATTTTTTAATGTAATTCTGCATATTAAAATTTTCAAATCTTGAATCTGTACCAAACGCATATACATTGAATCTATTTGATTAAAAAAATAGAATCCAAGTTTCGAGACAAAGAAGCCCTTGATTTGTATTTTTAGATCACACACTCTTAGCCATGGGATGAGAACCTCCGTCTGTTGTGTTCCTCTAAACATCACCTTTGAAAAACAGACCAGCCTTGAAATTTCAAGTTCCCAGTTTTTATATATTTGCTTTTCTAAATAATTAAAAATTCGAGAAGTTCATGCGGATCGGATATGGTACTCATTTTTTGGTATACTAATTGAACAATTTGTTTAATAAAATTATAAATTTATTTTCTCAACTTTTGAATACTGTTTATTTAGTTGTTGAAATATAAGAAGTTTGAATTTTGTGATTGAATTTTGTGATTGAATTTTAAATTATGTTTCTATTGAGTATTCATAGTTAACACTATTGCTGAAACGTGAGGTTAATTAATTCAACTAATTTCAATATCTTGTTTTCGTCTCTTTATCCATATTAGTGTATTACCACGTGGAATGTACATATATATTTTTTTAATTACAAGATAACTTAAATTTTAAATAATTTTAAGTATAATTATTTTTAAAAATATTTAAGATTAACTTTTAGATATATTTGTTGACAGCTAATTACTATACTATTTATAATTATTTTTTCAAATATACTATTTATAATTAATTATTAATTGCATATTTTGTAAATAAATAATTTAAAAAGCAAAGGAAAAATTTATTTAAATTTTAATGAATTTTAAGATCACATTTCACTATTTTTATTATATTAATTAAAAAATAAATAGATATTTTAATTTTTAATTTTTAAAATAATTTATTCCACCTAATATGGGCCCTTTATTTATTTTTTTTAAGATATTTTGTTTGTAATTAATCTATATTTTAAACAAATATTCTAATAAAATTACTAAAAAAAGCATCCCAATAAAAAAATACACTAATTATAAAAACAACAATAAAAAATAATAGTAACAAAAAAAATCCAAATCCTAACTAAATAAAATTGTTCAGAAAAGAACATTCCAAATAAAAAAATACAACTAATTAGGAAAAGAAGAATAAAAAAACAATTGTAACAAAAAATAAAATTCCAAATACTAACTACACACTCATCTTCTAGAGTAAATATGCTCATTTGATGATTTCTTGACAAATACTTATTCAACTTTATAAAATTATGGAACGGTAATGTCACAAACCTAGTATTCGGGATATGTAGATTCAGCACGTGCATTTTTTGTAACCGGATGAATATGCCACCAATATTTCGAGATGTTTTCAAGATTGAATCATCTTTAAGAGATGATTGAAAAAACTAAAAATAAAGAAGTAATGAAACTTGTTGTGAAAAAAACATGGAGAAGAAAGCCTATTTTTATTGTAGCAAAATAAAATGTTACCAAAGCTTTTCAAATTCTAAAACTCTTGAAATTATTGTATGAATTATAATTAAAGAAAAAATTAATTTTGAAACTTTTGCATTCTAATATTTTAAATTCTATGCATTTATTAGTATTGATAATTAATAATTAATAATTAATTTAATATTTATAATAATATATTAATGACATAGTTGGTAAATTAGTAAATTTAATAAAGGACAAAAGTGTCAAAAAATATATCTCCTACATCCTCTCTCTTTTTAATATAGTATAGATATAGATATAATATTTCTCGCTCTCTCTCATATATTAATTTTTTATTCTCTCCATGCCGATCCAAATTCCTCTATTTCTAATCCTGTCTTCCTCTCTTATATATTAATTTTTTATTCTCTCCATGCCCATCCAAATTCCTCTATTTCTAATCATGTCTTCCTCTTTTTTTCATAGTTTAATAACTAAAATTACATCGACGACATGTCAACGTTTTCATAGATTCAACATCGACATGAGGGATAAGTCGACATTTCCACCATAGTACAAAAATATCAACAAAATATCACTAATATAAACATAATATTAATATTAATTATTTTTAACTTATTTAGAAATAAAAAAAATGTTTATTTGTTAATTTAAATATTTTTTACGACTTTTTAATTTCTCTAACTTTTACAGAAATATCCATTGATATCAACATTTTATCGACGTTTCCATCGACATTTCCATGAAATTGAGATCTCGATATTTTCATCGACATCGATATTTAAAACCTTGTTTCTAACTTTATGGAGAATATACTTAAAAAAAAAACCGTACAGGGAATTTCATTAACAATTAACTATTTTTTCCAAGAATGGTGGAGGGCATCGCCTCTTCAATCTTCAAATTTAAAATAAATAAATAAATAATAAAAGGGAGACCTTCCTGATGAACGTCATCCTCCCATCTTTCGATCTTTAAGCTACAAATAAATAAACAAGAACAAGAATAAGAATATGGGTTAGGAACTTGTTTGGTCTTCCTTCCCTCTTCATGTTTCATGTAAAAGTGACGGAAAAGAGAGAATAGTTTTTACACATCCGTCTAGTGTATCAACTTTTTTTGAAATTATAGAAAAAAAGATATCTTTCTTCAACTCAGATTCTAAGGGGGCATTTTGTCTATAGTCCCAAAAACCTAGACTTACTGTCTCACCTTTTCTTTTTTAGAAGTGTTAAGTGTATAAAGTGAGAATGAATTTCATATAGATCTCTTTGCACACCATTATTACTTCAAGTAATACAAGATCCAGTATTACTAGAAATGTCCTTCCTGAATCTCATCATGAAGCAAACTACGTGACTAAATGACATGGACGAATCCTATTAGCTAACGGCCTCGCAATTAAGCCATCAGTTAACCAACCCGCTAATTCCCCATCATATTTGACATGGTTGAATTCCCTTTGCACATACTCCAGAGATATTTGCAACCTTCCCCCCGGTCTGCAGTCATTAGAGGCACTTCTTGCTATTATTCCAGCATTTCTCTCTAGCCAGTGCAGATAATTGACATGGAACAATGCCTTGAGCATGTCTACTGGTGAAGCACTTTCTTTAAGCATTACCTGCACATTAAGATTCCCCAAGAAAACTTTTGAGTTTGATCCTCTAACAAGAACCAAGCTAGCAAAGAGTCCCTTCAAATAAAATGATTAACAAAATGAATGGCCCCTTAGTTGTTTCCTTTAAAATAAGTACAATAAAATAAGAGAGAGACACGAGGAGAATCCTGTTGAGTACAACAATTTGAGGACGTGGGAGATGAACCTCTAACCTCAAGGGAAGGAGTACATGTTAATTACCGCGGAGCTATACTCATATTGGCGAGGAGAATCCCTCTTACCTTCTAATATGAGAATTTAGATCTTTAATTGAAAGATTTAAGAATTAATGGAAAAAGAGGGACATTGGTTGTTTAACATAATAAGTTAGGCCTCCACTAGCCATTTTGTGGCAAAGAAAATTTTTATTTTTATTTTTTTACCGAGACAACTGAATATCACAAGATAGGGAATCGGGGTTCAGGAAAGAGGTAAATCCTTAAATACTTAAAAGAATATCTCATCTCTACAGGGAGCATAACATTTTGATGTCAAACACAAGCCAAACACTTGAAAGCAGAGAGATAAAAGCATACGAGCAGCCTCCATGGAGGAGCTCTTTGAATGGTTCTCGGGGTCTTAAAATCAATTGGTTAAAATCAGCAATTTGTGGATTGAATACTGAAGATTCAAAGTTGTCTCAAGACTTCACTGCAAAATTGAATCATTCCCTTCTATCTTTCTTGGCTTGCCTCCGGGTGGTCAACCCAAATCTTCAATTTTCTGGTAGCCTGTTGTGTATAAAATTGAGAAGAAATTGGATATTTGGTAGAGATTCCATCGATGAACAGGAGGTACGCTTACTTTGTGCAATTCGGTTCTCTGATATACCTTTATATTATGTGTCTATCTTTTCTTTCCTTCCCAAAGTCTGCTATGGGAAGGGAATGATGGTGGAAAGATAAATCATTTGGTCAGATGGAATTTGGCCTCCATTCCAATTAATGATGGATTAAGGTTTGGTGGGTTGAAGAAATGCAGCTCTTCTGATGGCAGTTTTTTTTTTTGGAACAAGATACGAACTTTTCATAGATAGATGAAAATGAAAATTGTTCGAGATACAAACTCCCTAAGGAGTGAAAAAACAAAAGAAAGAGCAATTAAACAAAGAAATAATTAAAACTAGAGGGGAGTTACAAATGCCTCCCAATTAGAACAAATCATGCTAGGAGAATAATTAACAAATAAATCTGAGAGTGAACACCAATGAGAAACTTTGAACTTGACGAGGCTAAGGCACTCTTTCGGCCCTCTTTGGACTCCTTCGAAAATTCTCCTGTTTCTTCCAAACCAAAGCTTCCAAACCAAAGCTCATGTAGTAAGGCTTTAATGGAATTAACCCACAAGAGCCCAAGCATTAGCAGGTAAAGAGGGTCCTCCTAGTAGTTGAATAATATTTGAGGGCACCCCCCAATCAGAATTCCGAGCAAGGGAGAAATGTTGAAATAGTAGCCACCAAGACAAGGCAAAGGCGCACTGAAAAGGAAAAAAAAAAAAAAAGATGCTCTTGATTGGTTGTACATAAGACACACCATGAAGGAGACAAATTTAGATCCGGCAGCTTTTTCACAAGAGTATTAGCAGTGTTCACCTTTCCTTTGACCAAAATTCATGAAAACAAAGTGACCTTTTTGGACATTTTGATTTCCAAAGGGCTGTAAAGATTTCCATTGAAATGAACCAACTGAGGAACTCAACGAGCATAAAGAACTAACCGAGATATCTAGAGACCAAATTCTTTGATCTTCTACCTTTGACAGCAAAAATTTGGAGAGGATTGCAAGAAGGTCCGAAAATTCTACAATTTCCGAATCCTTCAGAAGTCTTCTTGTTTCAATCTTCCAAGAACTAGTGCTTGTATTCCAAAAACTAGAGACAGCACCCATAGGATTGGAGGATATCCTATAAATGAGAGGAAATCAGTCCTTAAAAGGAATACTTTCCGTCGAGCAAGGACAATAACACTCTTTCGACCACCTGTAGAAGGCCATATTACCCACTCAAAGAACCATTTCCCATTAGATCTAAATTTCTGCATACGACATTGACCAATATAGTCACGAAGCTGAAAAAATAATGATGCAGAGATCGGTTACTGAGTAAATTCCATCATGTGCTTTTCAAACCATAAGAATTGCGAAGAATGCAAAGTCATCAAAACATTTCTTTCACATCTTCTAACATAACATGTCATTTTCGATCCAAATGCAAAAAAATGGAACCATCAATACAACAACTACTAATTTCTATTCTGAATGAAACCGTCTACCGTGCAATGAGACTAAGGACAAACTAGCTAATCTGAAACCTTCACCAATGAAGAATCTGAGGGGAGAGAGAGGAGAGGAAGAGAGAGGAGAGAGCATACTTACTATAGCCTCTTGGTGCCTTACTCATAGGAGATTCTTTTTGTAATTACAGTATAGTCTTACTTTCTTGGTATTGGAAAGCTGTAATATGGTAGTTCTTCAGGGGAAGGCCTCCTCAGCCCCTGCCCTTAGGTTCTTGCTCCTCTTTTGTTATAATGCATGGTGTTTCTTATAAAAAAAAAAAGAAAAAAGAAAAAAAAAGACATAAAGGGATTGAGAAAGCATTTCTGAAAAAACCGATGTTCTAGAGCTTTAGAGATATCCTTCCAATCATCATGGGCACAACATTTTGAGACTACCTTTTTACCCACCCCATGTTCAAAACCTATTCATCTTTCTTAACCCATTGAACTAGGTTGATATCCTTCCTTATAGGCCCTTCAAAACCAAAATCTCGATTCTCCATTATGTTTCATCAATACTCTTTTCCGAATTCTCTTTGAGCACCTCATCGTATAATCTTTTGAACCTTGCTGCACTTTTTGCAAGGCTTTCTCTATCCAAATTCAAATACTCCTCAAAGTTAGCTCTTCCCTTTGTCGTACCTGATCTTTTCATGGAGAAAAGACCTGGTATTTTCCAACCCCCGCCTCAAATCTTCCGTAATTCTTACTGAAAATTTATTCAACATATTCTAGAAACTATCCACCTTGTGGAAATCTCCGGGAATTATCGTGCTCTTTCTTCCTCCAGTAGTAGGCCAAACAACCCACTCCATAACCAATTCTGATTGATTCTGAATTTGTGAGTTTGATAAGTGTCGTAATCATTACGAATCTGAAAATAAAGATGAGCTTGAACTGGGAGATGAACTAAATCAACCATATAACTTTCAAACCATAAAAATTGGGAAAGATGCATGGGCAACAACATCTTTCTGCACACATCCTCAAGCATTGTCTTCCAAAATACAAAAGAACTTGTTATCAATATTACAGCTACTGATTTCCATTTCTTTCAAAAACTTGAGCACAACCTTCTAACTATTGGACCAATAATCCTTGGGAGGAGAGGGGAGAGAGAGAGAAAAGAGCATACTTACCTTTCCCCTCTATAACCCTGAATTCCGTTACTTTTCTGCTTTCGCTTTTCATAGTTGATAGATGAAGAAAGGTTCTTCAATTCTTTTTTTCATCTCATGTACCCTGAATTCCGTTACTTTTCTGCTTTCCTTTCCTTTTCATAGTTGATAGATGAAGAAAGGTTCTTCAATTCTTTTTTTATCATCTCATGTCATGACCTTCTTCAGTTGAGGCTTCTGAGGCTTCTAAACCTCTGTATGTGGGATGGCAAAGGGGTCATTCCATAGGATGAGGATGCCTCCTGCAGACCCGTCAGCATCTAAAGTAGCCCAGTTAATCCTAGGAGCTCGAAAGAGACTTGACAATATTACGGTTGGTGCTTGATAGCTTTGTTTCTTGTAGAAGAACCAATTTGGATTTAGACGGGAGATTGTCTGTTTGATGAGGGCTCTTTTCTTCCATGAGCCCAAACCTTTGACGTTCCATGTGAGGAGCTTCATTTGGTGTTGGATAGTCCCCCCTGAGAAGCTTTTGCTTTTCATAGTTGATAGATGAAGAAATATTCTTCAATTCTATTTTTCCCCTCGTTCAGTCGAGGCTTCTGAACCTCTTTATGTGGGATGGTGACGAGGTCATTCCATAGGATGAGGATGCCCCCTGCAAACCCCTCAACATCTAAAGCAGCCAAGCAAAACCCATGGGAGCTCCAAAGAGACTTGATAATGTTGTGGTTGGTGCTTGATAGCTTTGTTTCTTAGGAGAACCACATTTGGATTTAGGCGGGAGATTGTTTGTTTGATGAGGGCTCCTTCTTCCATGAGCCCAAGCCTCCAACATTCCATGTGAGGAGCCTCATTTTGTGTTTGATGGTCCCTTTTGAGAAGCTTCCACTTATCACAGTTGAGATTTTAGCTTCTGACGCTGCTTTAGAAGTTTGTATCCTTGAAGATCTTTCTTCCTTTTCATCTACTAACGAAAAGTTTTTTTCTTGTTTAAAAAAACTTATGAGACAAAAAGTTGTCACCTGTTGGCTAAAAATCATTAATTTTGGCTTTCTAACCCCATATTGTATGCATTGATAAAATTACAGTACACTAATACTTCAACAAAAAGAGAGGTGTAAAGCTTCATAACAAGCACTTGCAGGACTGGGAGAAGAAAGCTCCGTGATCAACACAAGTGCACACATTGAAAATACAGTATAGTAAATGACTACTGGAGGAAAAATAAACTCACTCGAAATGCATATTTACTTGGGAGCAGGAAAAAGGAAATCCATCAACTTTGCCCTTCCCATGGAAAAAATATTATGCAATTTAAAATGAAAGGGTTAAGATAACTTACACAATATCTTCCCCTCTGCTCAGATAGAATGTAATTTTCATTTTTATACAGACTGAAGAGTTCAAGAACATCCTCCTCACAGCTCACCACATCACTGAGCTTAGATCCCAATTGCAGTCGCTTTTCAATATTAGCTGCTGATTCCTTTGCTTCAGTAGAGAGTAAACGCAATTTTGGTTCCTTGTTTAAATAACAAAACTACAAAAGTCAGCTAATCCAATTGAAACATGAACAGCTCAAGGCATCTACCAGCACTAGGCCATCTCATTTGAGATGCAGTTAAATAAAAATATTTTACATACTATTCCAACATTTAGAAAAATATGAACAGAAAATCCTAAGAATGAGTTTATTTTATCCGTTGAAAGGAGCTTTCCACTCTAATCATGAGATATTCAAAACCCTACTGTAATCATTAAAGGTTTGGAAAATTTGATGTAATCTATTCCATTTACTAAAGTTATGTATGGACACATGTATAAGTAAAGAATATAAAAAAGACGATAAAGGACAACATGTCTAAGGTATTTACAATAATACAAATATACTAATACAACCATTGTAATACTAAGTTGGAGCATATATATTAGTCATATATTTTTTTAAAGAGCATATATGTTAATCATGCCTAGCTTGTTACTGGCCGGAGAGATAATCTATATATACTCCATTTAATGCCCTCGTGAAGATATTTGCATTTCATACCTTCCTCCATTAAGATATCTCCCTCCTCCCCCAACACTTATCACATATATTAGCCAAAAACTTCCCTCCCCACGCAATACTCTAGATAAAGTACTTCAAGGTCTTTCTTAACCCAATACGACGACTTCCTCTCAGTGCTTTTCATATTAATTTTAGAATCAACAAGTTTTTTTTATTGAGCAAGAAATTCCTTATCATATCCCAAAAGACTAACCAGCCATTTTATTAACCCAGCAACTACAGAAGCCAACTATGTTTAAAACGCTTCTTCTGAATATGACAAGTTCTGTGAACATCCCTGGCCTACTTGAAGAACCTCGATGAGGGGAAGATGTAAATATTCCACCAAAGCACTCTCAAACCAATGGAGTTGGGACACATGAAGAGGAAGATGAACATTCTTAGAATCTTTAACGAAACAACGATCACTTCCACACCAAATCCAATAGAACTTATTCCAATACAATAACATTTTGGATCCATGCTGCCAAAAAACTTAAACTTAAAATGAATACTAACATTGATCTTAAACTTGAATGAGGGAGTAGTATTAATCGAAAAGAAAACCAACTCTAAACTAAAAATTACCTTGAAAAGACGTTCCTTGAAGAGGAGAGAGAAGAGAGCTTTTTCCATCTCTCCTTCGTGTGAAGAATATTGGGAAGATATTCTTGAAAACT